TGACACAAGAAGATGTCAGTGATGAGTGTTACAACGTAATTAACTTCCAAAAACCCGAACTGTTATACCACTTGTATAACAGTTCGGGTTCAGTCCTTGTATAATACAAGGCTAGGCTGTTATGCAGGGCAAACTGTTATGCAAGGCTCCGCGGGGCGAGCGCGAAGCTTCTTTAGAAAAGAGACACATTCTTTGGAAATATGGAATTTACCATTAACCTTCCACTTTATTGCATAAAGGCGAACGAGATATGAATCACAAGATGAGCGAGATATGAATATACTGTGTGTGTCAATTTGATATGCAAATATGAAAAAATGAGTGTTTTCGCCGAGATTGATGCTACGTGTGCCTCTCGGATGACCTTCGAAAGATGAGTATGTCCAGAGCGTGTAGGAGCATTGCTAACGAGATGTCAACAAACATAAGATGATGATGGCAAGAGGTTGCGGAGGTGTGGTAGGGAAATGGGACAGGGTGGGGGTCAAAGATTCTATCCTTATCAGTGCAGAAAATGTATGTTATATCAGAGAAATATGCAGTAGCAGGAAAAGTTATGATGTTCCTTTTCCGGGCCTGTTTTGCATCTTGCACACGTGAACCTTGGATATCTGTCAGGCTATGACTGACGATGGCGTGATGATGATGATGATGATGAAGTACGGCCAAGAAGGATGCCAAATTAGCTCATCGATTTGGAGGTCAGCATGCGGGTGGTGATGGAAATGATGTTTGCCGTGGGTGTAGAATCGACCGCTTCTTCAAAAAGCGCTTACCTTTACTTCTGTTACAAGAAGGCTTCTTGTGATAACAGAAGTAAAGGTAAGCCTTTGTGGGCTTATAAAAAACCTTTTCTAGCAATACCACTCCTTTGTCACCACGCGTTTCGTCTACAATGCGCTCGCCGCTCGAACGGGACGATGCAGACGATGAATAGTAATGGTTAATTAATACGGGATCAAACAGGGAAAGAGAGTTCACCGTGAAACTACCCAACAGGAATGTACTCATATATACAATGGTGATATGTAGTATTCATTGATAGTGTTATAGTATCTTCTACCTTGGGAACTATATTCCCACACTGTTGTGGCAGGGGCGATGGCAGGTTGTTGTTGTCGTAGTAGAAGTAGTTTTTTTGGTGGTCGCCGCTCCTGCTTGGGTCGGTCTTGTGAGCCGACGAAGTGTTTGAGGAGTGGTATGATAGTGAGCAGTGGGCACATATATTGTTGTTTTAAAGGCTTATCGTTTTATATACAGCAGCGTGAGGCTGACGATATCGAGAGCGATGGAGATTGGGTTGAATTCGTGTATGATAATACCAGGATTCGATTCCGTGAGTCATGTCTAGGATGTTGAGCCCTGTGACCACGAGGGTCTCTGCCAAGGGTGTGCTAAAGATCTTGTGTTGTCCAGGAAGCCGTGCTATATTTGCGGAGAGGAATACCGTATGTTGTAGTAAGATCGGTTGCATTCCATACTGAAGCTGAGATTGGCACTGTTAACGATTATGGGGAAACTATTCACGGTTTCGGAATAATTCACCCATTTTTGTCCCCTACCGAGAGGCCATGAGAATAATTAATTGTTTTCATGAGTTGATGATGAGTTGTGTTAGTCATTGATTTTTGCGATGGGGGAACTAGAAAAAGTGAGTAAACACTTCGAACGGTCGAAGTTGATTTTAGGAGAGTCTGGTGCAGTTTTGTAATGGCGGGAAAAAGTTTTTGGTTTTCGTATACACCATCAGGAGAGGCGAGTGATACGCCTTTCGAGACGGCGACAATTTGGGTATTTCATAAATTCAGTGGGCATCAGTTTCAACGGGCCGTAGATTTGGCGATGCAAGGGACGGGACGGAGAGTTGTGGGAAGGCCGTATTATGAAAAGGTGTGAGAAACTAGGTGGGGAGAAGGAAAGACTGTTTCGTTAGTATCTCTCGAGTGGTACCGATCCACGACCAGATATACCGGTTATATATGATGATATTTTGGAAGGATTGAAGGTGAGAGTGTTGCTGCTCTTGTTGTTGTTGTTGTTGTTGCTGCTCTTGTCGTTGTTGTTGTTGTTGCTGTTGTTGTTGTTGATGCTGTTGTTGTTGTTGTTGTTGTCGTTGTTGCTGTTGTTGTTGTTGTTGTCGTTGTTGTTGTTGTTGTTGTTGTTGTTGTTGTTGTTGTTGTTGTTGTTCCTGTTATCAGGCCTCGACAACAGGATTGCCCCTAGCCCAGCGTGAACAGATAACCCGTCTACTGCCATGGATGGGGGGATATGATACTCGAGAGCTTACTGATGATGTGGGTAGACGCAGACTCTCTGTACATGGTCACCACCCAAATACGTTGTTTAGAAATGTTCACTTCTCATGCTACTAGTGTGCTAATACATAGCCATGAACATATACTGTATAGTAGATATTGTACTACATGGTCAATGATATAATATAGGATATCACTTATAATAAATAGTAAACTCGTATAGTATTAATAATGGAATTTCACCCGCGACGTGACAAGCGCATTTCACAGCCGAAAAACGGCGGTTTACGGCGTTCTACGAGTGAAACGCCAGTATTTACTATCAGTTGGTGATAATGCTATAGTCAGTGAGTGTATGAATTACATGGATATTCACTCGATGAAATGCCGAATTCTTCGCGTAATATGTCAGCTGGACATGCTCATCTGTGCGAGTGTTGATTTGAAGAACGCGAAGTACTTAACATCAGCCCACGAGTTAAAGGCCGCCTTGAGGCTGTGAGTTCATCATTCCTCGATTTGGGAAGAGTGTGGTATTGTTGTGATCAGACCGGCTTTCATCGACGAGTGTTGGAGACACAAGCGGAGACCAAGTGATGAACGGAAGTTCGCTCTCAAGGTTAGTCGTGGAAGTGGGGGAAAATCTTCGCTGTGCGTTGTGAGATATCTAAGCAAATCATTGGCTTGAATGAATATAGTATTCGACGAGTAGAGAGTTTGAGCAGTAGAGAGTGG